ATGACTGCAAACAGATAACAGAAAGAAAATAAAGTTGGAGTTCCTGGTACAGCCATACCAGCACAGTATGAAATGTATAGGGTCGCCGTAAATGAAGATGTTAGTTGAATACATGCACATGGACGCACTTTGGAAGAAGTTTTCAAATTGCTTCTACAGGTTCAAAATGTTTTTGTCTCTATACAAGGACCACCTGACAGCCTATTTCTTTTCGCCTGTGATATTGTTAGTTTCAGCTGAAAAATTTACTGAAATAAGTTGAACTGCTCTTCCTTTTTGTGCCATGAGAACCTATCCATATCAGTTCCATGTTATTTCTTCTTCTGGGACCAAGTGTTCTGCCCAGAAGCATATCTCCTTAGTTAATGGATTTATACCTGTATACTGGAAATACAAATGCCCACTTTCGATTACTCCACGGACAGAGGAACTCATAAATGTTTCAAGGTTTAAGCATATGGCATATAGGCCAGCAATCCTGTCTGTGACACACATAGATCTCAGATATGCTAGATATCCAGCGGATGGAAGCAGAGTGGAATTCTCCATTTACAGACCCTGTGACTGTGCATTAATATTGCACTTTCATTTCAGAGTCATTGCGCAATGCTGTGTCAGCCATGCGTATTGACCGTTGCTCCACATACGTTGCACTACATTGATATTCAGCATAGGGAGAGCATAATGCAAGGGGAATGTAACTCCGCCGGCAGTTATTTATGCTTCCCGACAGCAATGTTGGAACCCAGCCGTAGAAATCAACTTCCCATGGGCACCTATCAAGATGCTTGGTTGCCTTTCCTAGAAGCGAATGCATAGTTTCTCCTTGCTGCATTTTCAGTTTATTATCTGCTAGCATGTTCTTTTGAATACATTGGGGTTTGATTTTGATTTTTAAACTGTTTCCTTTTGTACAATAATTAAGTAAACACAGTCCCGAGGCTTGTAGCATTCTGTTTTTAAAACAGAAAGAGAGAAAGATAGAAGATAAATAGGAAGACGAGGAAGAAAATCTATCAGAGTCTTTAAGACTAAAAGATTTATATTTTAGCATGAACCTTTGGGGATATCAATCCCCTTCCTAAAATGCAATGATAGAGTATTTATTTATAGTATCAGAAGCAAACCAAGGGTGCAGTTGTAATGTATTTAAAAAACATAAAGTTTAAAAAAACTTGGCATTATACTAAATGTCCTTTGATCAGTAGCTGGCCACTTGGAGTGCCTCTGATGTTGTTATAAGAAGGCCCTCCATTGTGCATGCGGCGAGGCTCAGGCTGCATTGTAATAGATGATCTGTGGTTTGCTCTTCTCCACACTTGCATGTCGTGGACTCCACTTTGTGGCCCCATTTCTTAAGGTTGGCTCTGCATCTCGTAGTGCCAGAGTGAGGCCTTTTCAGCACCTTCCAAGTTGCCCAGTCTTCTGTGTGCCCAGGAGTCTCACATTTGGTATCAGCCATGGCTTGAGATTCTGGGTTTTAGCCTGTCACGTTTGGACTCTAACTTGCTGAGGTGTTCCTGCGAGTATCTCTGTAGATCTTAGAAAACGATTTCTTGAGTTAAGGTGTTGGTATGCTGGCTGATATCCAAACAGGGGATGGACCGAAGATGTCACTGCCTTGGTCTTTTCATTATTGGCTGCTACTTCCCGACGGATGTCAGGCTAAACAGTGTAATTTCTCCAGTGATTTAATGTGGTGAGATGTATTCCACACTGGGCATGCATGTTCACCAGCAGAGTAGCAAAGCACAAGAGCAGATGCCTTCACAGTATCTGGTTGTGATCCCCAGGTTGTGCTAGTCAGCTTTCGTATGATATTATTTCTAGCACCCACGTTTCTTATCAATCAGAGCATGGTCCAGAGTGACGCCTAGGTATTTTAATATTTTGGTGCTGCCATACTCACATTTGGTATCAGCCATGGCTTCCTTCTTTCCCAGGTAATCCTCAGAACTTGAGATGCTTGTTTGTTCTTAAGATGAAAAGCACACATCTGTGTTTTAGGTGGATTAGGAATCAGCTGGTTTTCTCTGTAATAGGCATTAAGAGCACCTAAAGCTTTGGAGCCCCCGGTGGCGCAGTGGGTTAAAGCACTGAGCTGCTGAGCTTGTTGATCGAAAGGTCGCAGGTTCGATTCCGGGGAGCGGCGTGAGCTTCCGCTGTCAGCCCTAGCTTCTGCCAACCTAGCAGTTCGAAAACATGCAAATGTGAGTAGATCAATAGGTACCGCTCCGGCGGGAAGGTAACGGTGCTCCATGCGGTCATGCCGGCCACATGACCTTGGAGGTGTCTACGGACAACGCTGGCTCTTTGGCTTAGAAATGGAGATGAGCACCACACCCCAGAGTCAGACATGACTGGACTTAATGTCAGGGGACTACCTTTACCTTTACCTTTAAAGCTCTGGAGAACTTCTGTTCAAGCATTTCAAAGCTCCCTGCTTGAGCGGTGATGGCACGATCGTAAGCATAGATGAAACTCTGTCCCTTCTGGCAGTGGCTGATCATTTGTCTAAATGTTAAACATTGATGGAGTGAGCATACTCCCCTGAGGCAGGCCATTCTTCAGTTTTCACCATCTGTTTCTCTGGCCCTGGCATTCAACAAAAAGCTCCTGTTTTGTAGTAGATTTCCTATGAAGTGGGTGAGGCGGTAGTCCTTTGTGATATTATAAGTTTCCTCAGTAGAAGGTGATGATTACAGTGCCATAAGCTGCTAACAGGTCTATGGAGACAGCATAGACCTGTCAGCCTTTCAAAACCATCTTCTATGTGCCGAGTCAGGTTCAACACTTGCTATGTGCAGTTTTTGCCTTTCCTGAAGCCAGCTTGCTGTGGAATCAGACATGGGCCTATTTTTTCCACAGTTCTGTGCAAAGTTAGTTTCTCCAGAACTTTGTAAAGATGGCACAGCAAGGAGATTAATTTATAGCCTTTTGGATCATTACAGTCTTTGTCTGGTTTCAAGATAGCTTGCTTTCCTCTAGGTTTTGGAGGTCTGACAGGATGCAATGCAGTTGTTCATCAGCTTCAGCAGCCAGCACCTTGCTTTTGGCCCAGAGTTCTTAATGATAGTGACATGCAGCCTTAGGTTATTGCTCATATCTATATAGTTGTCGAATAGAATGTAATAGGATCCAGAAAATGCACAGTGACCTTTGCCTCAAATCTTCAAAGGGCTGCTCAAAGTAGTGTGGGTTTTTCCTCCCATATCTGGAAATGCAGAATACTCAAAAACCCTAATTTCTTGCTGCCAGCCAGTCACCTTCACTTCTGGGGAAAGGGGGCTAGTCACACACCTACTGGATGTTTTTACAAGGAGCCTTGATGGAGGAAAGAGAAGAAGGGGATGGGAGGGCAGACTCAGTTTACACAAGGCCCTTGTAAAGGCAGACATACACCCAAGATACTTCTGCACTCACCTTTTGCTGCACACAATACGGCTGGTGTCCTGGAAACAGCCTAAACGGTGAGCACAAAGCAGCCCTAATGGCCACCACCAATGTCTAACCCAGAAAGAAAGAAAAAGATTCCTGGGGGCAGGAATCCACTTTACTAAGAGAATGGAAAGTGCACTGACAGTCCTTCAACAAAAAATCAGCAAACACTTAAAATGCGATTAGCCCTCTTTCCTTCTGTGCATCAATCCACTGTATATATGCAATTACAATTATTCCAAAATCTGAAAGACTTCTTGTCCAAAGCATTTTAGGTAAGGACAACTCAACTTGTATTTACATGTGAAAGTAACACTATGCAAATGTGGTTTAAGACTTTGAACAATTTAAAAATTGGAATAAACTGTTCTTCACTGCGTCACGGACAGAAAAACCAGCTACCATAAGAGATCATATTGTTAGGCTGGAAAAGACAAAACATCAGGACCCATTTGACATTTGATAAAATGGGAAATCCATACTTTGGGGAGGGTACAACTATGGCTGGAATCCTGTTGGTTAGTTTGGAATCTTGTTGGTTAGTTTAGAATCCTGTTGACAACTCCCCACTAGAGCATTGGATCCATTTCTGAAAATATAAGTCAACAACTAGGTCAGTGGTTCTCAACCTTCCTAATGGCGCGACCCCTTAGTACAGGTTCTCACGTTGTGGTGACCCCCAGCCATAACGTTATTTTCGTTGCTACTTCTTTAATTTTGCTACTGTTATGAATAGTAATATAAATATCCGATATGCAGGATGTATTTTCATTCGCTGGACCAAATTTGGCACAAATACCTGATACGCCTAAATTTGAATACTGGTGGGATTGGAGGGGATTGGTTTTGTCATTTGGGAATGTTTGAGTTGCTGGGATTTATAGTTCACCTACAATCAAAGAGCCTTTTGAACTCCACCAATGATGGAATTGAATCAAACTTGGCACACTATTATTATTAGTATTCCCATAGCCAAGAGAAATACTGGGAGAGTCTGGTGGACTCTGACCTTGAGTTTTTGAAGTTGTAGTTCACCTACATCCATAGAACACTGTGGACTCAAACAGTGATGGATCTGGATCAAACTTGGCACAGATAATCAATATGCCCAAATGTGAACACTGGGGGAGTTTGGAGAAAATAGACCTTGACATTTGGGATTTGTAGTTGCTGGGATTCATAGTTCACCCACAATGAAATAGCATTCTGAACCCCACCAATGACAGAATTGGACCAAACTTCCTACGCAGTACACCCATGACAAGGAGAAAATACTCTGTTTTCTGAATGTCTTTGGTGACCCCTCTAACACTCCCTCACGACCCCCACAGGGGTCCCGACCCCCAGGTTGAGAACCACTGAACTAGGTAAATCCTATCAATTCTGAGGCTACAAGGCTCCGCTCTAGCCCAGTCACACAGCAGGATTCAGATCTGCAACTCTAGCTGAGTACTTTAAGAAAAAAATGGCCTAGATCAAGCCCTTTTCCCACTGTGAATTGTTGTCATCAAAATGTCTCCCTTGTGATAACACCATATTGTTTTGGTGGTATCTTTCTGCAGGTGCTGTGTGTTCTTCTTCAATCGCTACCCCCACCACCCCTGGACGACAAGATGAGCAGGTTATGACACCATGAGGAGCTACCATGGCGAGCGCAGCCAGTCACGCGAACACCCTTGCCGCTGCGTCCCGGAGGCCTGTGACCAGCCGATGGAATACATCCACCATAGCCAGGAATCACGCCAGCCATACCTCCTTAGCCCCAGCGAGCCTTGTTCCTTGGACCACTACTGCCCATCCCGGAGTTCTGCCGAGGCCCCCCTCAGCCTAACGGAGCCCCCCTCAGCCGCCAGCAGCAGCAGCAGCACCTTCCCTAGGATGCACCACGCCCCCCAGCCGTACGACTCCTGTGACGAGTGCATGGCGGCCGCTCATCCATCCAGCAAGATCAACCGTCTGCCCCCGACTCTCCTCGACCAATTTGAGAAGCAGCAGCTGCCCCTGCACCACGACGGCTTCCACACCTTGCAGTACCAACGTGCCAGCAGCACGGAGCAGCCCCGCAGTGAGAGTCCGAGCCGCATCCGACATCTTGTCCATTCGGTCCAGAAGCTCTTTGCCAAGTCCCACTCCTTGGAAGCCCCCTCCAAGCGGGAGTTCAACGGCACCAAGATGGAAGGCCGGGGCGGTGAGTCTGGGTTCCACCACCCCCATCATTCACACCACCACCATCGCCAGTCGCGCCATGGCAAACGCAGCAAAAGCAAAGACCGCAAGCTGGATTCCTCCTCCTCTCGCCACCGGAACAAGATGATGGGTTGGTGGAGCTCAGATGATAACTTGGACAGTGACAGCAGCTACATGGTGTCCGGAAGGCAACATGCCGTGGACCAGGCCACCCAGTTCTGCGTTGATGCTCCCGAAAGTGCCTTCAGAGACTTGACCCTGAAGAGTTTGAAGAGCGGAGGGGGAGAAGGAAAATGTTTGGCCTGCGCTGGGATGTCCATGTCCCTGGATGGCCAGACGCTCAAGCGGAGTTCCTGGCACACCATGACGGTCAGCCAAGCACGGGAGGCCTACCCCAGCTCAGGAGGCGGCCCGGAGAAACCCTTGATGCTCCAAGAGGCGAAAGCCAAGGAACGATCCTATCATTATCTTCAGGTAAGGAGGTGGGTAGAGGCCTCCCAGCTTTAAGGCCCCTTTAAACAATATATTTAGGGATTTAAATTCCATTTTAAATGTCATGGCTATCTCCCATAGAATCCTAGGATGAAGAATTAGCAAGTCGGGTGGACTGGTTAGAGCATTGGGCTGAAACATTGAGAGATCATCCACTCAGGTATGCAAAACAGTTTTCAGCCTCAGAGAAAGGGAACAGTAAGGAAAATCTTACAATATAATCACCATACACCAGTGTCATCTTGAAGACACATGATAACAAGAATCATAGATTCATAGAAATAGAATCAAAGAGTTGGAAGACACCTCATGGGCCATCCAGTCCAACACCATTCTGCCAAGAAGCAGGAATATTACATTCAAATCACCCCTGACAGATGGCCATCCAGCCTCTGTTTAAAAGCTTCCAAAGAAGGAGCCTCCACCACACTCCGGGGCAGAGAGTTCCACTGCTGAATGGCTTTCACAGTCAGAAAGTTCTTCCTCATGTTCAGATGGAATCCCCTTTCTTGTAGTTTGAAGCCATTGTTCCGCGTCCTAGTCTACAAGGAAGCAGAAAACAAGCTTGCTCCCTCCTCCCTGTGACTTCCTCTCACATATTTATACATGGCTATCATATCCCCTCTCATCCTTCTCTTCTTCAGGCTAAATATGCCCAACTCCTTAAGCCGCTCCTCATAGGGCTTGTTCTCCAGACTCTTGATCATTTTAGTTGCCCTCCTCTGGGCGCAGCTTGTCAATATCTCTCTAGAATTGTGATGCCCAGAATTGGACACAATATTCCAGGTGTGGTCTAACCAAAGTGGAATAGAGGGGTAGCATGACTTCCTTAGATCTAGACACTAGGCTTGGGTAACAACGGAAAAATTTGTTTCTAAACTCGTTTCATTTTTAGGGGTCCATCACGTTTCGTTTTTTAAAAGAATTCCGAAATTTTCCTTTTAAAAATTTCGAAATTTACGAAATTTCGTATAATTACGAATCGATTCGTTAATGGCGGACGCGATTGCGCAATATGCTAAAAAAACCTCCAAATGGGAACTTCTGAAGCTTCCCTCTCCCTCTGTTGTTGACTGTTGGTGTGATAAAACAAACAACAACTATAAAACTTGCACCAAACATGCGAAAATAATTACGAAATAATTACAAATTCGAAATAATTTCGAAATAATAACGAAATAAATTGAAAAAATTGTTTCAAATCTAATTTACTCCTCACACTATTCCTGCATGGCTCAATATTGGATCGTAAACTAATTTAAATACAAATTAATAACGAATTACGAAATTAACGAACGAAACCGCCCAAGCCTACTAAACACTATGCTCCTATTGATGCAGGCCAAAATCCCATTGGCTTTTTTTGCCACCACATCACATTGTTGGCTCATGTTTAACTTGTTGTCCACAAGGACTCCAAGATCTTTTTCACATGTACTGCTCTCAACCCAGGCATTGTCCCCCATTCTGTATCTTTGCATTTCTTTTTTCTGCCTAAGTGGAGTATCTTGCATTTGTCACTGTTGAACTTCATTTTGTTAGTTTTGGCCCATCTCTCTAATCTGTTAAGATCGTTTTGAATCCTGCTCCTGTCCTCTGGAGTAGAGAAGAGGGACAATAAGGCCCTTGAATCCATAGGGAAAGAAGTTCCCACCTGGACCACAATTACCTGAAACTGGGAGTACACCTGAATCCCATAAAGCAACATTATTCTGACACCAGCATGTTTTGGAGGACCTAGAAATTCCTGGAGAGATATGCTCTCTACAAATATGCTAATTCCTCAGGAGCGAATCTATAGTCACTCCCAGTGGAGCATCCCATAGAATCACCTAGCAAATTCCTAGAGAGTGCTGTTTATCCCCAACTAAGTGAAACCTCAGGTATGGATTCCACATCTGTGGAGGTCTTACTGCACTGAGAAATTTTAGGATTTCATATGATGCAGCCATAAGAGTAAAAATGGGATGTGTTAGGGAAAAACTACCCTAAAATATAAAGCAGAGAATCCCAAAAACAAACAGGACACTAAAAGTTGAGCATTCAGCTCATTAGTGAGCAAAGCGTGAAGTACCGTGTGATGTGGCTGTAAAGAATTCAGACCTTAGGCGGCAAAGATGCAGAGTACAATCTTTAAAAATCACAAAAAGGTTTATTTACAATAATAAGAAATAATTGCATTTCTTCGTAATGAAGAACTGGGTCTGAACTACTCTAACACTCATCTTGTCTAAGGTTTCGAGAGAGGGGAAAACTCGGTCATTACATCTCTCCTGACACACAAGCAGAGAGAGATCTCAAAGCACACAGCACATACTCTTCAAACTAAAGTGTATGAAGTCGGAAGTCAGATTCAAAAAGCTTGCAGTACAAAAGTATCAATTTAAACACCAATCAGAATGAGAGCAGAAAGAAAGAAGAGAGAATACATTCCCAACTATCATACAAAAGACCTGGGGGAAGGAAAACTCTTAGTCTATACCAGGGGTCCTCAAACTTTTTAAACAGAGGGCCGGATTATAATTTGAAAAAAACATGATTGAATTCCTATGCACACTGCACATATCTTATTTGTAGTGCAAAAAACATTTTAAAACCCTTCCTTTCCTCTTTTTCTTTCCCTATCTCTCATCTTTCTTCCATCTCTACCTGTTTCTTTCCTCCCGTTTCTTTGCTCTTTGGTTACATCCTTCCTTCCTTCCCTATCTTTCGTTCCTTCTCTCCTTCCTTCCCTCTCTTTTTCCTTTCACTTTTTTATTTCCTTCTCTCCTTCCTTGCTTCTCTATCTTTCTTTCTCTCCTTCTTTCCCTCCCTGCTTCTCTCCTTCTCCTTCTCTCCTTCCTTCCTTCCCTCTTTCCCTCCTTCTCTCGTTACTTCTTGACTGTCCTTTCCATTTAATATTGTATTTATATCTTACATAGAAAGAAGAAGGAAAGGAAGGAAGGAAGGAAAAGGAAGGAGGAGAAGGAAGGAGGAGGAGGAAGGAAGGAGGGAAAGGAAGGAGGGGGATGAAGAAAGGAGGGAGGAAGGAAAGGGGAAGAAAAAGAAGAAAGGGAAAGAAGGAGGAAAGGAAGGGAGGGAGGAAAAGGAAAGGAAGGAAGGAGGAAGAAGGAGGGACAAAGGAAGGAAGGAAGGAGGAAAGGAAGGAAGGAGGAGGAAGGAAGGAAGGAAGGAGGAGGGAAGAAGGAAGGAAGGGAGGGAAAGAAGGAAGGAAGAAAAAAAGAAGGGAAGGGGAAGGAGGAGAAGGAGAAGGAGGAAGAAGAGGAAAGAAGGAGGGGATGAAGAAAGGAGGGAGAGAAGGAAATGAAGGGGAAGGAAATGAAGAAGGGAAAGAGAAAGGAAGGGAGGGAGGAAGAAGAAGGAAGGAGGAAGAAGAAAGGGAAGGAGGAAGAAAGGAGGAGAAAGGAAGAGAAAGGAAGAAAGGAAGGAAGAAAAGGAAAGAAAGGAAGGAAGGAAAGGGAGGAAAGAAGGGAAGGGAGGGAGAGAAGGAAGGTCCTTCATTCAAGCACCGTGGACCTTCCTCGCCTCCCCCTCCCCTTCCCCTCCTTCTCCTCCTCACCCTCCCCTTCTTCCTTGCTCCGTTGCTGCTGCTGGCACTCATCCACCCTTTCCTCTTCCAACAGGGAAAGGAGGAGGAGACTGCCTCCACCTCCTCCACTCCACTCGCTTGTGTGTGTGTGTGTGGCTGTGCACGTGTGCCTGGCTTTAACGGCCGGCTGTTTCCCCGCGAGGAGGAGGGGGGACGTGGCCATGGGTCTCTGTAGACATGCAGTTTCTCCTTTGTGGACATGCAGTTTAGAAGTCCTTTCTGCTTTTGGTTTTCGTTGGGGTTTTTTTTTGAGTGGAGAACATACATTGGGTTGTTAGGGACATAGTGTCCAAATTTGGTGTCAACTGCCCCTGTGGTTTATGAATTCTGTGAATAGCACAAACGAACATTACATTTTTATTTATATAGAATATTAAACATGGAATTATGTAAGTTTGAAACATGGAATGGCTTAGACGATGCTACTGGAAAGTGAGATTAACAGGAAGACATTAGTTATTATATGTTTTTAATGGGTTTAAACCAAGGTGCTTTTCCAGCAGGCACCAGCCAATCCCTCTCCAATGCCAGTGATACAGCTTAATGGTGTAACATTAGAAAATGTTGATCATTTCCGCTACCTTGGCAGCCACCTCTCCACCAAAGTCAACATCGACACCGAAATACAACACCGCCTGAGCTCTGCAAGTGCAGCATTTTTCCGAATGAAGCAGAGAGTGTTTGAGGACCGGGACATCCGTAGGGATACCAAGGTGCTTGTCTATAAAGCTATTGTCCTCCCAACCCTGCTCTATGCCTGTGAGACGTGGACTGTCTACAGACGTCACATGCAACTCCTGGAACGATTCCATCAGCGCTGCTCCGGAAAATCCTGCAAATCTCTTGGGAAGACAAGCGGACAAACGTCAGCGTGCTGGAAGAAGCAAAGACCACCAGCATTGAAGCGATGGTCCTCCGCCACCAACTCCGCTGGACCGGCCATGTTGTCCGGATGCCCGACCACCGTCTCCCAAAACAGCTGCTCTACTCTGAACTCAAGAACGGAAAACGGAATGTTGGAGGACAGGAAAAGAGATTTAAAGATGGGCTCAAAGCCAACCTTAAAAACTCTGGCATAGACTGAGAACTGGGAAGCCCTGGCCCTTGACCGCTCCAGCTGGAGGTCAGCTGTGACCAGCAGTGCTGCAGAATTTGAGGAGGCACGAGTGGAGGGTGAAAAAGAGAAACGTGCCAAGAGGAAGGCGCGTCAAGCCAACCCCGGCCGAGACCGCCTTCCACCTGGAAACCAATGCCCTCACTGCGGAAGAAGATGCAGAGCAAGAATAGGGCTCCACAGCCACATACGGACCCACAAGAATATTGGAAGACAATCATCCTCGGAAAGCGAGGGATCGCCTAAGTAAGTAAGTAAGTAATGGGTTTCGTATTGTGT